GTAGGGAACCTGCTTTGTCAGGGGGGTTGGACTGGATGATCTCCTGAGGTCCCTTCCAACCCCACCAGTCTGGGATTCGGTGATTCCTGTTGCTGTCAGTGGCCACCTGAAGCCTTCCTTACAACAGCAAGGGTGTTATTTCAAACCACCTTGAGATGCAAGGCAGCCAGGACCATGTATTTCGAGTTTCCTAGATGGGGAGCCATGATAGGGTGGCTCTTAAAGAGGGGTACAGGCTGGTGAGTCAAGGAGCAACCTGAATCTGTGCCGTGTGCTTTTGCTGGGAGGCCACAGGAGACCCTCAGTGCTTCCCATTCCCTCAGGGCTCCTCCCAGTTGTAAGATGTTTCCAAGCACATCCTCTTACTCCCCGATTCCTTGATGCTGGAAGGGAAAAGCAGTTCATTTTGAGCAGAGATCTGGCTGTCCCAGCTGCACACAGCTCTCTGGAGCTGATGCCAAACCCCTTCCCCACTTGGTTTGTTTTTCCTTTCAGATGCTTCTCAGCTTCACGGCAAAGGGTCCAACGCACAGCAGCGCAAGTTGTGACGTCTGCAAGGAGGGGAGCTCGAGCACACATGGGATAACACCCAGAGGAACAGATCATGACCTTTGGATACTGCCTCTGTCTTTTTTTTTTGTTGTGGTTTTGTTTTTGGGTTGGTTTTTTTTGTTACTTTTTTGTTTTTCCTCACGACAACTGGAGAGATTAAACCGCGATGACGAGCTCATTGGTGCGTTGGCTCGGAGGCTTTCAGAGCTAAGCCCCACACCCAGGGCCACCTTGAGCCATGTGCCCTAATGAGAGAAGCATTTTGTAGCACTGTTTTCTTGCTGCTGCCCTTCACACATTCCCTGGCACTGGCAGGAGCTAGATCTCACGGGGAGACTCGGGTGGCTTGGCTTCCTTACCCTGGATTCCCACCCACCTCTGTCTGGATCTGCCAAGTACCTCCAAGTCCAGTTACCTCCTTGGTCTCCCAGTGGAGGGTGTGAAAGGTGCTTCTTTCTTCTGCTTTGGATTTACTTGGATCATTCTAGCACTGCCAGGGCTTTTCTGAAGACATTTGACTTTTCCATTGTACTGTAAAACTGTGCTACAGTTAATTGGAGGACTTAACATTTCCTGTGTGATGAATCTAATGAACCACCTGATGTTCCCCTCTGGAGGAGAAGGAAGACTCTTTAGAGAGACATTTTTAGATGCAGTCATTGACTTTGAGAATTCTTCTTCTTTTTGGGTTTTGGATTTTTTTTTTCCTCCTGCTCAGTTTTATCCTCATGACCATCGAATGCATTGGATTGAATGGGACACTTCTCAGCATGTCACATGTATAGGAAGATATAATTCCAGTGCCTTTTATGGTGGAGCAAGAATGGACAAGTGAACACACATTTCAACCCTATTTTGTGTGCTCCTCAACCCTTTTTTAATCATTCTGTATTTAAAATGTATTCTGTTTTATTTAATAGAGCTTTTTATGGTTGCACATCAAAAAAAAAAAAGAAAAAAAACAAAAAAAAAAAAAAGCTGCACTGTCTGGACTTGAGTGGTGTCTGGTGACTGCAACCGCAGTTCCACATCCAGCAAGAGCACCAGTTCTTATCCAAGTTCATGCAAGTGGGTTCCAGACCCTCCCCTACAGCCATTCTTCTTTCCTAGGGTCGTTGGTTGTCATCTCTTTAATGGGCAGAGGGATTAATCTAGATCAACCAAGGTCCCTACCAGTCACATGAATCCCAGAGAATAATATTGCTCTCCTCGCTGATTTCTGCACTAGGATCATGTGTCTGTCCCAGCTGCAGGAATTGGGACCATCTAGAATTGGGGTGTGTCTTTTCTTTTTAATTTTTTAACTCTTAGCCCTCAATGGGAAATGGGTTTAAGATGAAAGAGGGGAGGTTTAGATGAGATATTACGAAGAAATCCTTCGGTGTTAGGGTGGTCAGACACTGGAACAGGTTGGCCAGAGAAGCTGTGGCTGCTCCTCCCTGGAAGTGTTGAAGGCCAGGCTGGATGAGGCTTTGAGCAACCTGGTCTAGTGGAAGGTGTCCCTGCTGCTGGCAGGGGGGGTGGGACTGGAGGAGCTTTAAGATCCCTTCCAACCCAAACCAGTCTGGGATTCTATGATTCAGTCCTTCTCCTGATCACACCCTGTTGATCTGTGCGTAGCTCAGGACAGGCTGTGGTTCCAACGGAGCTTGCTGGGGTTTGATTTTCTGCTCTTCCCTCGATCTGCCTTTTCTCAGGCCCCCGCAGCCACATCCCAGTCGTGCAGCAGCAGCGCTGGTTGGCACAGACTTTACTGGTATTTCAGGCAAAAATTTGCAGCCTTCCTCCTTCAGCTTTGGAGGAAGATGCTGACACTGGCTGTACCAGCAAATATCTGCTTTTGTTTTCCCCATTTTTGGTAAGATCCAAGATGGACCACTTTCAGTTTGAGCTGATATATAATTTCTCAAGATCAGTGCACTGTTTGCATTTTTTTGTTTGTTTTTTTAAATAAAAATAGAGCTCAGATTTAAAACTTGTTTACAGAAAACCCCTGGGTTGTAGCAAAAGAGCCAAAGACAGAACCTGTGTTATTAAAACGAAGCCCAGCAGTTACGGATGGACTCTGAGCAGTGGATGTCGCGTGGTTCCCCTTGAAGGCCCAATCCTGAGAGGTACTTTGCACCTTCAATGTCTCACGGTGGCTGAAGGAGCGATCAGACACCTGGCAGGGGAGGGACTCCGTGATGACTCGAGGTGCTGGTTCTACTCCCTCGCTTTGCTTTCACTGGAATGCTTCTGCTGAGAAGCACCCGTGTGCGTGGCCAGAGCAGAACACCCTCCTCCTAGGAATTTAGCGAAGCCTCTTGCCTCAGGGAAATGTTTATTTGGTGGAAATTCTGTGGGATATATATATATTTTTAATTTTTTTTAAATTCTTTTCCATGCTATAATGAATGAGTGAGTGGTACGGAGCCGAGTCGCAGCCAGGCACAACCACGCAGAGACCCACCCACCAGCTGATGGGGAGCCCCGAGTTTGGTGTCTCTGCCTTGAGGAGGCCACTGGCAAGGCTTTGGTGAGGGCGTGGGGAGGTGAGGCTCCCGTGGCACGCACTTGTGTGGCAGTTCCTTTCGGGTGTCTACTATTATATATATATTTTTAATTATTTTTTCTTTTTTTGGTGTGTGTTGGGACTGTCTTGCTGAAGATAGTGGAGATGGTATGAAAACTGTTCATCTTGTACAGAACAATTGAATAAATTGTTTCAAAGTTTCCAAAATATTTTTTTTCCATCTCCTTACCTCTAGTTTCATAACTTTGTTTTCAAGAGTTTGTCTTTCAGCTGAGATGGTCACAGAATTGCCCAGATTGGAAAAGCCCTTTAAGCTCATCGAGTCCAACCATGAACCCAACACTGACAAGTCCCCGACTAACCCATGTCCCTCAGCACTGTGTCTACACGACTCTTCAATCCCTCCAGGGATGGGGACTCCACCACTGCCCTGGGCAACCCCCTCCAATGCCTCAGAACCCTTTCAGCAAAGAAATTCTTCTTATTACCACCTCTTGATCATGTTTCTCGAGTGAGTAATGAATTATTTACTGTTTTAACGAAAGTCTCTTCCATGGTAAGTAAATTACAGCTCTGTCTGTAGCCACTGTGGTGGCAGAACTGCACGTTCTCATTCAATGTGCTCCTGCTGATGCATGAAGTTGACATCTGCTGGCAAGAACCTGGAGCAGCGGTGGGATCCTGCGGGATCACGGCATTCCCAGAGGTAAAATAACTGTTACTCCCCAGAGCCAGGATGGATGCACAGTGAATGCTCAGGGCTGTTTTCATTGAGGTCAGAGTTTACTGGGGTTCAGGTATTAGCCAAAATTTAGGAAAAAGGAAATGAAGGTGCTGTAGATGTGGAAGCCCCTGGTACCATCCTAGCATGAACTGCCCCTTTTTATAAGGGCAGTTAATGACAGAACAAGGGGAAATGGGTTTAAGCTGAAAGAGGGGAGATGAAGCTGAGATCTGAGGAAGAAATTGTTTGGTGTGAGGGTGGTGAGACAGTGTCCCAGGTTGTCCAGAGAAGCTGTGGCTGCTCCTCCCTGGAAGTGTTGAAGGCCAGGCTGGATGAGGCTTTGAGCAACCTGGTCTAGTGGAAGGTGTCCCTGCTGCTGGCAGGGGGGTTGGGACTGGATGAGCTTTCAGGTCCCTTCCAGCCCAAACCAGTCTGGGATTCTTCTAATTCCCTTTCTCCCTGCAGCTGTTAGTGCAGTTCCCTCCCAGCTAATGCTGCTAATTAGCCCCAGCTCTAATTTCTGCTCCAGCAATTTCCCTCTTGGAAAAGAATCAACAGCTCAAATAAACAGTCTGATTTGTTTTAACTTTGCCTCCGAAATGGCATCTTTCTGTAAAGCCAAAGATGAAGAGATTTGCCATAATTAATAAAGAAAAAAGAAACCAAAACCCAACAACCCAACTTCTTTTTGGAACCACTGCATGTTTATTTGGTACTATAAATAGAATTCCCCTCTAGTTCCCATTCCCTTACACGAGTAAATGAAACGTGTAGCTGCGTGTAACCCCGTCCAGTGAAACACCAGCACCGCCATCACCATCACCGCCATGGTGAGGTCAGCCATCTGTGTTTGGAAGGCACTCTGCGCTTGGTTCCAGTTGCATGCTTCACTCTACCCTCTGGTGTTTGGCAATCCTGCCATCTCTTCTCATCCTTCTTGGTGACCTCTGTGGTCTATGAATGCTCCTCCTGGATCTACGGCTGATGCCATCGAATTACATCTGCTTCACTCTTCCCCAGCAGCGTAGGCACGTAGGTGAACAAATCGATGGTGTTTAGGTATTGATGGGGTGGTACTGAAGTGAGGTGTGTAGCACACCTCTTGTTTTTAACAGAGCTGGGCTTCTCAGAGGACAATCTCATCATTTAGTTGTCCACGAGGAAACTGTCTGGCTTACCAACATGCAGCTGATGTAACCAGCTCCTGCTGGTGACCTTGGAGTCATCTTGACCTTCAGTCTCTCTAATGACTGCTGTATACAGCTTTTTATGCCACTACGTGAGTATATGTTGAGGAAACTGCAGGTTCTACTGAGTCTTTGGACTTCAGGCACTTCACTGTCCTAAGGCTTTTTGGCTTGGTTTTTGTTAGGTTGAGTGATGAGTTAGGGATGAAGAGGGGGAGAAGGTTTTGCTGTAGTCCTGACAAAATGTGTTTTCCACTACTGGTGGTGCTTTTCTGCAGTGTGTGACAGCAAGCAGCGTGGCTTCATAGCATGGCTGGGCAGAGGCTCTAGCGTTTTGGAAGACACAAAGGAGGGCAAAGGATTTGCAGTGATCTGGTTGTCTAACAGAAGTGGTGCAGCTCTGACGAGCTGCTCTTCAGAAACAACTTTCTAAAGTGGAGGGAGCGCTGAGTAATTACTTCCGGACACCAGAACTGCCAACTCCTGGATCGACATCTCCTTGTTGAGGTAACTGTTGTACTGAGCCATGCTGAGTCTTCCACTCTTCAAGGCATCCTCAATTGAGAACTCTCTACCAGACTTCCTGTCGAGGATCACAGACGATTCCCCATTGGGACCCTTTATTGAGATCTCCTCCCAGTCACATTCCTGACTCTTCAGTTTGACAAACAGGCTCCATTCGATGAGGCCAAACACATGAGCTTCCTCTGGAGACATTTCTTTTCCCGTGTCGGGGTCAATGACCACAATGGAGCGCCTCAGGTGGTTCTCTCTTTGTTCCCTCTTGATAGCCACCGTCTTGAGGCGATTCTGGAGTTGCTCGATCTCCGCGTCTTTTTCTCTGGATAACTGCTTCAGATCATCTAACTCTCTTTCCAAAGCTTGGAATCTGGAGTCCAGGTTTATTCCACTGTCCACGTGGGTCATGTTTCTCAAATCCCGAGCTTCTGTTGCTGTGAGTTCAATCTCTGATTGCAGTCTCCTTGTTTCCATCAGCAGGTTCTGTTTCTCAAGGTGGAGTTTGTGGTTTTCCTCCCTTAATAAGTCTAGCTCCTTTGATGACTTGGAGTTGTTGAATTCCACCTCGGACAGCCTGGTTTCGAGGCGGTTGATATCTGCATCCAGCTCCCTCTTACGCCTACTTTCTTCCTCCAGATTGCTCTTCAGCTTTTGAATCTCATACTCAGTGTCTCCTTTGTCCACTTGGACGCTCTCTGAAAAGACCACTTTCTCTTTGACCTCCATCTTCTCCAAAGAAAGGAGCTTCTTTCTCAGGGCCTCTAGTTCAGTTTGCAAGACCTGTCTCCGGTGCTTCTCTTCTTCTAGCTCCAGCTTGAGGAGGGAGTGCTCCTTCTCTTGCTGGGGATCTTGCTGAAGGATCACTTTCTGTTTCACAGTCACTCGTTCTGTTGTCTCCCTCTCTTGTTCTTCCAACTCATTCAACCTAATCCTCAGCCTCTGCACCTCTAGCTCAGCCTCTCTGCGGGCCTGTCTCTCTTTCTCAAGTTCTTCTAGTTGACGCTCCAGCTCAGACCGTCTCCTCTGCAGCTTGCGCAGTTCTTCACGGAGGCAGTCGATTTGGTTCAGCTCGCTCTCAATGCTCTGAGAGAAGGAGTTGACTTCAGCTTTCAAGGTAGGATCTTGCTCATACTTCACTACTTCCTGTTGGACCACTTTCTCCTTCACCTGTGAAAGTTCTTCCTCCTTCTGTCTTACTTTCTCTTCTTGGAGTAGCCGCTCCCTCTCCAGGTCGATGTGTTTCATCTGTTCATCTGCTAGCTGCACTCTCAGAGACTCGACCTCCTCTCTGGTCTTGGGGTCTTCCCGAAACTGCAGAATTTCTTGAACAACTTCCTTTGTATGCACTTGAGGTTTGGTATCTTTCAAAGCTTGTATCTCTTGTTTCAGCTGGTAGATCTCGAGGTCAGCTCTTTCAATTGCTCCTGTCCTCTCTATGATTTCCTCCCGGAGTCGCTGTAGCTCCTTTTCAGTTTCTGGATCATTCTTGTACTTGATGACCTCCTTAATGACTTCTTTGACTTCTACCAGTGGTCCTCTGTTTCTCAGAGCAGCCAGCTCATTCTGGCAGCTCTTCAGCTGTTCATCACCACCTCGGTATCTCCTCTCCTGCTCTACCAGCTCCAAACGAAGGTTGGCGACTTCATTTTCAGCCTTGGGATCTGGGCGCACAATCTCACGCACTTTCTCCTGGACAACCACCTTGGAGTTCTCTTCCTCCAGCAGCTGGATCTTCCTGAGCAGCTCAGCCTTTTCCCGCTCATTGGAACGACCCTTGGACTTCTCATCTTCGTACTGGCGACGGAGCTCATTCACCTCTCTCTCAATGGCCAGGTCTTTCTCCACCTTCAGCACCTCCTTGACGGTAATTTTGCCCTCGGCAATGGCTCGTTCCTTCTCCAGACGTTTGAGCTTGTCCTGGAGGAAGCTGAGCTCTTCCTCGTGCTTCTGCCGAAGGGCGCTCTCCCTCTGCTTGTTCTCTTGCAACATCCGGAATTCCATCTCCAGCTGGGGATCGTTCTGCAGCTTCAGCACCTCCTTCTCCGTTACCTTCTCCTGCTCTTTGTTCTTCTCGCTGGACAGCACGGCGATTTGTTGGCGTAAAAGGATGACTTCGTTCTCTCTGGTTCCTTCCTGCCTCCTGAGCTCTTCCAGTTCTTCTTTGAGCTTCAAGATTTCATCAGCTTGAGCCTTGTCTTGCTCAATACGCAGGACCTCTTTCACTATGTACTCCTGCCCTCCTTCCCTCTTCTCATGCTCCAAAACGCGCAGCCTGATTTTAAGAGCCTCCAGCTCGTCCTGCAGCACCTGGTTCTTGCGCTGCTCTTCTGCGAGGTTTTGCTGCAGTTTGTGGAAGCTCTCCTCCAGCTGAGGGTCAGGCACTTTCTTCAGCAGTTCTTTCTTAACGACAGTTTCTTGAGGCTTCTGGTTTTGCAGGTGGACAATGTTGTTCTGAATGGCTTTGATTTCTGCTTCTAGCTGTTGCCGACGTTGAGTCTCATCCTCAAGCTCTTTCTTCAACTTCCAGACTTCTTCCACCGGCCTTAGGGATTTTTTGGTCTGGACAAAATCCTCTGTCACTTGAACCTCTGGTTGCTGTTGTTGAAAAAAAGAATGTGTAGTCAAACCCCACCCCAGATAATCATCCTTTTGGTGCTTATTTTCAGTGTCCTCCGTGACAAAACAAGAGGAGAACGTTGAGTTGGGTTCATGGAGGTGACTGATTGCAAACGTGACGGGGGGGGGGAGGGATTTGCAAACAGGTGGCTCTGGAACTGCCCTGTGGATTCTCAGCCTGGGAAATGTTTTCTGTGATGCCTGTTGCTGTCAAAACAAAGCTTTTAGCCACAGGGGACACTGATTCTGGGATGGGTTTGGCAAAAGATGTGTTAAAAATGATGTGGAGCTTCCTAGGGTGAGTGAGAGATGGGACTGGGAAACACGGAAGGGGTTGTCTATCTGAGTCAAGGGTTTGCTGATTAATGGTTTTGGGGACACGAAATGCTGGATTTGTTTCCAGTTCAGGTTGTAACAGTGAAGGGACACGTGTCTGTTCTGTACACGACTGTCCTTTCAGCATCGCGTCGTCCCTGGGGGTCACTTACCTGCCGCAGGAGGCTCTGAGCGAACTCCAGGTTCTGCAGCCTCTGTTTGTTCACAGCATTTACTTCGGTGAACTTGGCTGCCAGAAGAGCTTCCTAGGGAACAAAAAAGGCCTTGAGAAGAGGTGGTGGGATCAGAGGGTGCTTGGGCAAGATTTGCTGAATAGAAACAACAGGTCCTAAAGAAGTAACCCTGGGCGCTCTCTTAAGAACCTTCTACAGCGGTGATCTGCCAAGCTTTGGGGGAGGAGGAGCGATTCTCATGCACACACATGCTCGTGGTAGGTCTCCTAATTGAGATATCCAAAGAGAGATGGAGCTGAGGAAGAACAGGGTGGAGGTGGGATGAGTTTGAGGCAGGTAGCAAAGAGATCCTGCATAACTAAGTAGCTCGTGGCCTGCTCTCACTCTGAGTATTTCTATCTAGCATGTGGTCTTGGTGGTGAAATCTCCCTGTTTGAAAGTCTGGAGAGGGGAAAAACTTCCGGGTTTTTGGCTTTTCTTCCCCCATTCCCCTTTCAGAAAGTGCTAAATCCAACATTTTCCCTCTCTCATTCTGCCCAGAGAAGCTGTGGCTGCTCCTCCCTGGAAGTGTTGAAGGCCAGGTTGGATGAGGCTTTGAGCAACCTGGTCTAGTGGAAGGTGTCCCTGCTGCTGGCAGGGGGGTTGGGACTGGATGAGCTTGAAGGTCCCTTCCAACCCAAACCACTCTGTGATTCTAAAAAAAAAAAAAGATGGGCTAAGAATGATGGAAAATCCCTTCCTCCCCTGATTCTCTGCCCTCCCCCTGGTCTCCTCTGGGACCAAGGTTCCCAGCAGTAAATATAACTTTTCAGAATCCCCGTGGGTCCCATAGGCTGTCACCTGCTCTAGCTCGCTGTAGGCCACCCCTTATTTACCTCCTCTTTCACTTTCGCAGCTGGAGACTGCAGCCTGGGCTTCTTGCTCATGTACCCGTTCCGGCCGTTCTCTAGGTCGAGGATGGACCGTAGCTTCTCTGCTTCCAACTCATAGTCCTGTGGGAAGAAGTTCCAAGGAAGAGAGTGAGATGACTGGGTCCTCTTCATGCACAGGTCCCTCCTAAACCCTGCCTTGGATGATTTCTTCTCTTGATCTGTGTGTTAGGCGAGCTGCTGAGGATGGTGGGATGTGGAGCACTGTTGGCAGGACCTCGCAGAAGGTTCTGAGTTGATTATTGCTCTGTGACCATAACGGCACAGCTGCAGGTGTGCACTGACCTTCCAGTTACCTTATTGATGCTGGGCTTGGAGTGGGAACCCTCCTTTTACAGACAATAACTCCACACCAGTTGCCATGCTGATGGCCATGGGATGTCAATGTCAGAGCAGATGTTAACTTGGTTTTAGCTCAACTGACTGAGCCAAAGGTACTAGGCTTTCTTTAGGTGGCTCCTTGTAGGATGTAGGTGATGCTGCCCCTCTGCTCTGCTCCTGTGAGACCCCCACCTGCAGTGCTGTGTCCAGCTCTGGAGTTCTCAGCACAGGAAAGACATGGACTTGCTGGAGTGGGTCCACAAAAATGATCAGAGGGCTGGAGCAGCTCTGCTATGAGGAGATGCTGAGAGAGTTGGGGCTGTTCAGCCTGGAGGTCTCTGAGGAGACCTCATTATAGCCTTTCAATGGTTAAAGGGTGTCTATAAGAAAGATGGAGACAAACTTTTCAGCTGGGCCTGTAGCCATAGGACAAGGGGTGATGGTTTTAAACTAGAAGAGGGGAGATTTAGACTGGATAGAAGGAAGACATTTTTTACCCTGAGGGTGGTGAAACCCTGGCCCAGGTTGCCCAGAGAGGTGATAGAAGCCCCATCCCAGGAAACATTCAAGGTCAGGTTGGATGGGGCTCTGAGCAACCTGATCTGGTTGAAGATGTCCCTGCTCATGGCAGGAGGGTTGGACCTGATGATTTTTAAAGGTCACTTCCAACCCAAACCATTCTACAATTCTTGGAGTATCTCAAGGTTTCGGGTGCTCTCTCATTCTGATCTGGTTGAAGATGTCCCTGCTCATGGCAGGGGGTTGGACTAGGTGGCCTTGAAAGGTCCCTTCCCACCCAGACTAGTCTGAGTCTGCGTTGAAGTTCTTCCACCGTCAGAACTGCAGTCCTTACCTTCACTGCCTGCTGGTACTGCTGAGCTGTGGCAGAGACCTCCTGCACCTCCTGCTCCTTGCTTGCAATGTCACCGAGGAGCACCTGGCACACACAGAGATACACATCAAAGGGGAACACAAACCCCAAAGGCATCGTTCAGCCTTTTTGAGAGTTACCATTAAAACTACAACACCGAGAATGACAACCTCCTGGAGCTGCCCTGCTACGTGCAAACACGGCACAGGTGGGACAGTGGGACTCCATAGAATCAATAGATTTTTCTCTTTTTCCATGTTATGTTCAGGAGCTATCCAAGTTCTACTCCTTATCTGGTAGTGTTGTTCTTTCTCCTTTCCCCGTGGAGCCCAGGGCAGCCTCAGCAAGAATTACCGCTTGGTTCTTCAGCTTCATCTCCACTTGCTGGATGCTGTCGGTCTCCTGCGGCTCGTAGTTGGGAACGTTGCACAGGAACTGGTTGACTTTGTCGTAGATGGTGCGGTAGTTGGAATAAGCGCTTTGGGCTTTCTGCAGGGTCTGTGTTCTGTGGGGAAATCAGCTCAGCTTCAGTACTGGCACCTCTCTTGTGTCTTCTGTGAACAGCTCTTAACCCACCCCTGCTTCCCCTGCTCCCCAAAGACACAGATCTGAGCCAGAGCTGTTCTCTCACCAAGGTCCCCATCTCTGTTGCAAGAGCACTTAATCCTAAAGGCTGCCCAGATCTGCCCATCCAGTGCACACCAGGAACCTCTCCCTCTTCTTCTTTAGCCCTCCCTGGAAGTCCTTCTGCAACTCCTCATTCCCATGATGCTGTTATGCCTCTTCCAGATTCAGCTTGGTTCCAACTCCACTGTGAATATCATAGAACCCCAGACTGGTTTGGGTTGGAAGGGACCTTAAAGCTCATCCAGTCCCAACCCCCCTGCCAGCAGCAGGGACACCTTCCACTAGACCAGGTTGCTCAAAGCCTCATCCAACCTGGCCACAAACACTTCCAGGGAGGAGCAGCCACAGCTTCTCTGGCCAGCCTGGGACACTGTCTCACCACCCTCACACCAAAGAATTTCTTCCTCACATCTCATCTCCATCTCCCCTCTTCCAGTTTATACCCATGTCCCGCCTCTCCAGGCAGGTCCAGTCCTAGCTAGATCCTCTCCTCTGTCTTACCTGTGGTCGATTTGCTTGCTGAGGTTGTTGAAGCGCTGATTGAGTTTGTAGAGCTCGGCTTCCTGCCGCTCGATGTCAGGGCAGTGCTCCTGGAACTTGCTGGCCAGGGTGTTGGAGCACGTCTTTGCCCTTAGCAAGTTCTGCTCTGCTTCATTGAGCAGGAACCTTTTGGACTGGAGCTCAGTGCCCATGGCCTGCAGAAAAAGGCGGGAGAGAGGGATTCTCATGGGGTTGCACCCATGCCAGGCTTTTGTCACTGTTCCCCATCAACTCCAGCAACTGCACTGGAGCTGCGGAAGATGCCAAGAACCAGGTGAGCTGTGGTTGTGTTATGAGTTGTGGAGAAAAGCAAGTTAGAGGCTTGAGAGCCATTGTTAGCAGAGCCATCTGACAAACCTGCTGAGGAGAAAAGCTAGCTCTCGCTCCTTTCTCCACCTGTGAACCTTTAAAAGGAAGCACGCTGTATGCAAAATATTTGGTGCTTCTCATACAAGTCCTAAACCCTGTTCCTACCAGAGCAACAACTCCAGAAGGAGCAGTGAAAGATTTTGCAAGCTCGTCTGAACTTGGAGGGGTGATGGAAAAGCTGAAGAAGGACAGAAAATTCTGGCCTAGCCAGTTCTTGGCCTTTCTATAGCAGAAGGATTGCCAGTTTTGACCGGTAGCTTTTCCTAGTGATAACTGTTCTCCAAGCCTTGGTAGGTCCACCTCTTTCAAGGCCTCTGGGTTGCTTTTCCCAGATCATTTTATCCTTCACTTCTCCACTAGTCCTTTTGTCAAATCACAAGTATTCAACTGCCATTTGATTTCTGGTTTGGGGATGGGAATGGTTTGCATTTAAAGTAGGTAGAGATCCCTGCAGTTAACGTGAGGTCTCCTCTCCAGCTGGAGTGGCCATCCCTTTACCAACTGATTCAAGCTCGTGAGTTGAGCAGCAATTGCCCCAGCTTGTGGAAAGTGGTTCTATGTGGAACATGTCAATAGGGTTGGAAACTGGCTGGAGACAACACTCACCAGCAACTCTTCTTTCTTACGGTCTACCACCCGCAAATCTTCTGGTACCGTGTCATCTATGACCAGTTTGTTCTCATAGGTAGACAGCAGGTCTCGGCCTTGTTGGAGGCTCCTCTCGAGGTGTGTGGCCATCTCAACTCTGTATGGACACAAGAGGAAAGGTGTTTAAGCACAGCTGTACCCATCTCCTGCAGGATCCTACCAGGCTCAAGCCGTGATTTCAGCCCTGACTTACTTCTCTTGGGCAGCACTGAGCAGCTGGACCACGCGGTCGTACTTCCTGTTGGTGTTCTCCACCTTGTTCTTTACCAAGGTGGCGCTGCCAGTGTTCGGCACAGATTCAATGAAGACCTCACACTCTTGAATCTTCCTCCTCTTCTCGGGTTCGATGCGACGGACCTCATTGGTGATGTTCTGCAGGAGGAATAAAGCCTTTAGAGCAACTGAACTAGGACCTTGTGGCTACAAAGAAGCTGACCCTTGGCTGTCCAGTGTGAGAGGAGGGAGGTCAGGGCTGAGGGCTTGTGTTTGATGGTAGGTGCCTTTCAGCCCTGTAGGGGACAAAAGGATTTTTTTCTCTTGACTTTCTGTTGAGTTTTATCTCTTCTGGGACAGGCTAGCCAGCCCTTAGCAAGGAAACTCTGGCTGAGGAGTGGTTTCCACCACCTCTAGCTCTGTCAGAAATGAGCTGGACTCATCTGGACCGTTGGACTCTGCAGCCTGAGGGATGAGTTCTTGCCTGGACATCAAAGCACTACAGGCAGCTGCAGCAATTTGCTTTCACTTGTGGTGGCGCTTGGATTTTGACACAGCCCTCGGCAGGTGATGTAACCAGGACCTGAACTTCCTTCTAAACCAAGGGAGGTTTGTGGCACAGAGCCTGGCTTAATTAGGGGTCAGAAGGAGAAGAAAGGAGCAGGATGCTACCAGCACCAGAGCCTGGTGGAGCAGGTCCACAAGGAGAAACAGTGCCCTGGACTAGAAGTGTTTTCCTGCTCCTTCCTGAGCTGGTGATAGTGGTGGCAAAGTTCACGTCCCTGCTGTGCTCAGAACATGGGCAGGATCAAAACTTGAGGGCTGCTCTTTCTGGCTCACAGCCCATGCTCTGCAGCCATCTCCTTTTTCCCATTCAGCCTTTCTGTGTCTGAGCTGGGGCAGATGCAGGGCAAAGAATTTTGGCTTCAGAGGCTGCTCAAAGGGCTGCTCCCCATCTCCATGGGAGGAAGCAGCCAGCTGTAAGCATCACTCCATAGAATCCTTTGGTTGGAAAAGACCTTTGAGATCGAGTCCAACCGTACCTGTCCACTACTAAACCATATCTCTGACCACCCCATCTATCCATCTTTTAAATACTACCAGGGATGGGGACTCCACCACTGCCCTGGGCAACCCCTTCCAATGCCTCAGAACCCTTTCAGCAAAGAAATTCTTCCTCACATCCCATCTCAACTGCCCTGGCCACAACTGGAGCCCATTTCCTCTTGTCCTGTCCCTTGGTCCTTGGTTGAACAGACCCACCCCCACCTCTCTCCACCCTCCTCCAAGGGACTTGGACAGAGCCAGAAGGTCTCCCCTCAGCCTCCTTTTCTCCAGGCTCAACACCCCCAGTTCCCTCAGCCACAAGGGAACTCAGCACACTTGTGCTCCAGACCCTTCCCCAGCTCCGTTGCCCTTCTCTGGATATGCTCCAGCACCTCCATGTCCTTGGAGTGAAGGACATGTCCGCATGCTCCTGGGCTCAGGGAGCACTTACAGCACCCAGCATAGAGGACCACCCTGGAGACCCCCTGGGAGCACAGTCCCTGTACAGCACCATCTCTGCTTCCACAGCCCTGTACCTTCAGGTCCTTGGAGCGCTCAGTGCTGTCCTGCACGGCCCGACTCTGCTCCAGCGGTGGTCGGAGGTTTGCTGTTATTGCTTTCTCCTGCTTGTCCAGGTCGCTGTTGACTTTCTCCAGCCCAGCCAGAAGCTGGCGTCCCTGAACTGATGCAGCATCTGGATAACGAGGTGGGAGCAGGTTAAAACTGGTTGGAAGCTGGATCTGGGCTCAGTCCCACTGGTGAGTACAAAACCCACATCCCCCTCCACTCCCCGAGTCCTGGCTGCTCTGCCCCTGCACACATCCCACTGCTGTCATGCCCAAGGACCTTGAGGAGATGGGAAGCTCTCAGTGACCTCTCCCCTGAGATGGGCCACCACCTAAATTCAAGGCTAGAGCAGCCTTTTTGTGTGGGAAGGGGCAAACCCCAAGCTGCCCTTCTGGAGCCACACCTCCAATGCTGTCTGCCTTCAGCCCCTCGTAGCGCTGCTGGAGGATGTTCTTGCAGTTGGCTGTCTTCTCCTTCACAGCCACATAGTGGTCAGCAATTCTGCAACACAGGACAGCGTGGGCGAGAGATCAGAGTCAGGCCCTCAGCCCCTCCATCACCCTTCTTGCCCATCCTGGTGCTGCTCCAGGAAGGAGGTGCAGCTCTGGAGGGGTTCATGGGACCTGGCCCCTTGAGGCAGCCATGAAGCAAGTAGGGAAGAGGCACCTTCACCCCATGTTGCCAAGAGGGTAGAACAGTGTCTTCACCAGAGCGGTGGGAGAAGGGTAGAGGCAGGAGGGATGGGCAGCTCCCCTCACTGCAATGACCTCCCAGCAGAGCAGGGACCTGGATGGTCCTGAGCTGGCCCCATTTTGCCAGGTGGGATCTCGTGTGCAAGCAGGAGGGTGCAGAGATCCCTCCTGGAGGAAGCCTGAGGCTTCGAGCTGGCATGGCTTTGCTGCAGGAATTGGGGCAGGAGCCCCACGTTAGTGCTGCCAGACCAGGGGTGCAGGGCCTGGGGCTGGTGGCAGGGCCTGGGGCTGGTGGCAAAGGCTGCAGGGGCATGGCAGGCTGGGGGACACGTACTGGTCTGCCAGTGCTATGGCTGCTGCGTCAGGCGGGGGGATCATGAAGCAGACCCCCGGGGCGCTCAGCTTGTCTCCTGAGCTGTCTGCCACTTCCCAAATGTCTCCGCCGTTCTTCTCCAGGGTGTAGTGGGCTCCTCGGCTTATCTGGCCCTGGGGGGGACAGGAACCAGTCACAGCAGCAGGTCAGGAAATGCCACCCACCCTGCTCCACACCGGCAGCCCCGGGGAGTCCCGCTTGTGGGGAGGTAGGACCGACAGCACCCCCAATCCCTTCTCCCAGCACCCCCAATCCCTTCTCCCAGCACCCTCAATCCCTTCAGGGTGTAGTGGGCTCCTCGGCTTATCTGGCCCTGGGGGGGACAGGAACCAGTCACAGCAGCAGGTCAGGAAATGCCACCCACCCTGCTCCACACCGGCAGCCCCGGGGAGTCCCGCTTGTGGGGAGGTAGGACCGACAGCACCCCCAATCCCTTCTCCCAGCACCCCCAATCCCTTCTCCCAGCACCCTCAATCCCTTCTCCCGCCATGGAGCTGTGCCTCCTCTTGCCACAGCCATGGTGAGTGCGTTCCCACGGGGACAGGGATGAGAAGCTGTTCCCAAGGCTGTGGGGTGGCTTTTTGGAGATGTAGCCAGAGCTGGGTCAGCTGGAGCTGCTGGCTCCTTCCCAGGCCCCTGTTGCTCCCGCAGTGTCAGCTTTGCTGTCCCATCCCTTCG